GAGGCCCCTGTGCTGTGCCACACGCATGCTCACGTTCTCGCAGGCTTGACCTCGCTGCAGGGGCTTTTGGGGCCACAGCCCTGTCGAATATGCAGTCTCGACTCCCAAACCCAAGGTAACTCAGAGCTATTCTTCCCGGCATAGTTGGCTACGTCATGGGCAAAACAGAGCGTGTGCTGGCTGTGAAGCTCACCACATTCCCAATATTGATTCTAAGTGACTTGTGTTAAATAAAAATTAAAGGAGGCCACTGTTTTGGACTACGCTTCTGTACCAGGCCCAAAAAGACCAGACTAAAAGCCAAAATGGAGTTGCCCATGCTGAGGTTCCATGTCACCAAACTGAAACTGAGTTACTGGACTTCTGAGAAATCAAATTTCCCAAACAGGATTAGTTTGAGTCATGATAATAACGTTCCCTCTGCTTTAATCCTTACCAAAAAATAATCCGAAGTAACCTGATGTCAACCAGTTATTTCTCTATTGTTCTGTTTTCCTGTTCCTACCTTACGAGGAAAGTAACTTTAAAATGACTAATACGCTTTTTGTTCTTGGTTTTTGCTTTCTTCAGCCCTTCTTTGTCTATAAAACCAACCTTCTCTGCTGGAACACTTATTCTATTTTACGCAATGAAGGGTTGCTCAATTCTAGAATCATAAATAAAGCCAACTGATATCTTTAAATTGTTGCAATTTTGTCGTTTGGCACCTGAAAGGTAAATTTTGGCAATCTACTTATTTGCCAGTGGAAAAGCTACCTAAACATATTCGTGGCTTGGTATAGCCTATATTTGAATTAGACAGTGACAGATGGCTGTAAATCAGGTTATTTTCCTCAGTGTTGACACATAAAAAGTCTTTGAATTGGGCCTTAGTCACTATTTTTAGCACTTGAATTTGCAGTTCTGCCTTGAGGCTCTAAACAACTCATTATTTATTGCTGAGTTGGTACTTTGGTCACAGTCGACTATGTTAATTTTTTTTTTTTTTTTTGAGACAAAGTCTCACTGTTTTGCCCGGGCTAGAGTGCCGTGGCATCAGCCTAGCTCACAGCAACCTCAAACTCCTGGGCTCAAGCGATCCTCCTGCCTCAGCCTCCCGAGCAGCTGGGACTACAGGCATGCACCACCATGCCCGGCTAATTTTTTCTATATATTTTTAGACGTCCAATTAATTTCTTTCTATTTTTAGTAGAGATGGGGTCTCGCTCTTGCTCAGGCTGGTTTCGAACTCCTGAGCTCAAACAATCCGCCCGCCTCGGCCTCCCAGAGTGCTAGGATTACAGGCGTGAGCCACCATGCCCGGCCGACTGTTAATTTAACAAACATGTATTGAGTGTTTTCTGTGTGTTGGAGGCAGGATGGTATCCCTCAAGAAACTTATAGTCCAGGTTAGAAAATTTTAATAAAATTCATATAAAGAAAAAATGAAAACAAAATGCTCTGAAAGTGTAGGGAAGGGAGAAATCACCTTAACTGGATGATCTGGGGGAAGGTGTCAAGACATGAGTAAAGCCCTGAAAAGGATAAGTTTGGGAGGCTGAAGGAGCTGTGTAAACACAAGATGTGCTGATAACATAAAGCTCCATCAGGAAACAGCTCATAATCTGATCTGAGTATAGTTTCAGGGCCATAAATGCAATGCAATTTTTTTTTCTTTAATGTTTTGGGTTACGGTTAAGGCTAGGGTTAGAGTTAGGGCGTTAGGGTTAGGGATAAGGGTCAGGTAGGGTTAAGGGTAGGTGTAGGGGTTGGGTTAGGGGTATCAATCCTTTGTAAGTTAAGAGAAGCCTTTACAATTAAAAAGTTAATGTACTAATAAACATCTACATCCTAATAGTTATCTCAAAATAAGTTTCTATACAGTTGTATACATTTTATCCTTGTAGCTAAGTTACAAATTAAAGGAGACACAGTACCTGCCATCCTTAATGACTTCACATGTCCTGTTGTTGACTTCCCTATCCATTTTATGGCGGGCCTTGAGAAGGGAGATGAGGAAATGCTGTTTTAATCATCTCAATACGTAAGGTATGAATGCCAAATTAAAATAAGCTCAACGCAGTGCGTAGAAAGTTGCATGAGAAACCCTTACCACATCGTCCACCAGGTCTTTGATTGCAGTGACGCCCAGCACCAAGAGTAGGGGCACGAGTGTGGTGTACCATGCCAGGGTAGAGATTTGAGGAATTGACTAAAAGAAATAAAAAGGCTTATATATGTGCTCGTGAAGGCATATCGAGCTTATGGGTAACTTGTTGTTAATTCTAAGCTTGCAAATTCTAAGTCTCATCTCTGTCATCATACAACTCTACATCCTGTAGAGCATGTAGGAAAAGGTATTTAAGCATAATTAACTAGGGGTGGGGGCACAGGGAAAGTAGTCCTTTAACTTTTAGGGAAGGCACGTATAGTAGGCTCTATGCATTAGGTTGTTCAGCCAGTGGTTTCTGAGGATCTAATGTTGGCAGCAAGGATGGCAGGAGGTAGTGGCTGCCTTTGAAAGCTGGTGATTAGACAGGGCATCTTTGGGGGCTCTCAAAGAGAGCCCTTCCCTTATGGTCAGCGTTATTGGTCCAACCAAGAAAGGGGCTGGCCTTGCAGGAAGCCCTACTTCCACCAAGACAGCCTCCAAGTTTGAATGAAAGATGAGAAACAAGTTTAATAAAGATGTCTTATAACTATCTTATTGATCCCTGGGCCATGTAATGCAGTGGTTAAAATGATAGGCTTTGGAGTCAAACTCCTGGGTCCAAGTCTGGCCGAGCTCCACCATCTATGGGCTGTGGGACTTGGAGCAAGTTACCTTAGCTCACTAGGCCTCAGTTCTCTGCAAGTTGGAGGTTACGCCAGTACTTATCTCAGCGAGTGCAAGAATGAAGTGAAGTAACAGTGCAAGTAAATGGTCGTCTAAGGCTCTTACTATTACCCTAATTTGGATTGCTACACCTTAAGAGAAGATCACTGAGGTGTGTATGCAAGTGGGAAAAATCACTTCTTCCCACAACACAGTGAATATGTGAAAACTCTCCTCTTCCCTGCCAGAGGGGAGTAAGGGGAAAATAGCCTACTTAGCGCACAGCAGCACCTTATAATTTGCAGTATTTACCTCTACACACGCCTGTCTAAATGTCCCCCTTGATAACAGGAACATCCTTTACTATCAGGTCAGCAGGCCTTATGTTTTACTCACTCTGTTGAGTATCCATTTCTCCCCAGTGTCTTCTCCCCACACATCTTCCAGCCCCACCCAGAGACAAATGCTACCATTTTCGTAAAATCGTAGAGGGCGAATCCCAGCAGGCGGGACCATTTTCCAAACTCAGTGCTTGATGTCAAGAATCTGATAAAGTCCTGTGGATAGGCTATGCTCTGTGATCTGCACATCAGGTACTAAAGGTGGTTTCCGGGCACTAACTACAGCGCACATAGATCCCTTGATTGCAGCAACAGTTCCTACACAGATAACACGTGCTTTTCAGATAAGTGAATGCTTTGCCACAATTAAGAGAAAAATCTTTAGGAAAAACTAGGCCTTTTCTAAGGTAAAACCATTTCACGAACAATTTATGGAGATGTATGACCAAACTATTAGTAAGAATCATAAAATTCCTGGGGAAATTAGGCATCTAAATACAAAAATAAAGGACAAGCACAAAAAAATAGGTTTCATTTTAATGTACAAATAGTTTTGCGAAGTGAGAATTTTAATTTTATCCGCTTCCGGGATACCAGTTTTAACACTCACATCAGTGTGACATCAAGTTTTTTAAAATACAGAATTAGAATAATATGTCCACTGGCTCCCTTTCCTTGTTCATGCAACAGATTGAGACAGTTCTGTGTACGAAGCCCCATCCCCGTATGTACAGAACCCTGATGCGAAACTTCTACGACTACTCACACGAGGTGTGCCCATGACTTAAGTATGACTGAGTCACCATAAATCAAAATAGATTTAAGATATCAAAGGGCATTACCTGCAAGATAAGAAGGATCAGGAAATACATATTGGCTGCTCTCTTGAACTGCTCAAACAAATTCAGTGGTAGAAAGGTAAAGGCGTTGTACTTGTATGTTTTAATTGCATTATTCTGTTGGGAAAAATAAGAAAGTCATTCTAAATGATATCGCATTTATCACAGTGTGTACACATTTGCAAAAAAATCACTAAGTCCCATGGCCTACAGTGACACAGGAATGTAATCTGCCAGTCAGAAAGATACTGAAGTTTCTTTTAAGCCTGTAGCCAAGCTTTAAAACGACTACTTGGAGTCTTAGGTCAAGACAGTAACAAGATACAGACATCAGACCATGACCAGATGAAGCCTGCTGTCAGATTCCTTGATCCATTAAAGCCTCTTAAAAACAGGCAGACATCAACACGGGCAAAGCGGGAAGAGGAACACTTTCATTTAAGGGAGGACTGAGGCCACTGCGTAAGAAAAAGATACTATTGTGGGTTGAACTGTGAGCTCTAAAAGGTATGTTTGGGTCCTAACCCACCTGGGAATGTGATCTTATTTGGAAATAGAGCCTTTGCAGATATAATCGAGATGAAGTCATACATGAGTAGGGCGGCCCTCATCCAGTGACTGGTGTCCTTATGAGAGGAGGAAAGTAGGACACAGAGAAACACTGTAAAGATGGAGGCAGAGATTGGAGTGATATGTCTACAAGCCAAGGCATGCCAAGGATTGCCAGCAATCACCAGAAGCTAGGAGAGGCAGGGAACAGACTCGCCCTCAGAGCCTCCAGAAAGAACCAATTCTGCC